AGCTTCCACTCTGAATATTGCGAAACTGAAAAAATTGAATACTCAAATTCTGTAAGATTCTTTGCTTGATTTTTAAAAACGTACGTCCTAAACGTGCAAATAAAACACCATTCCAGAAATACGGGCAACGCTCGACAATGAAGCTGTATTGATAGCGTACTTAGAGCGATTTCGAAAGGGCCTGAAACATGCTAGTAAAAAGTCTGAAATGTAGAATTTTGTATTCAAACTCCTCTCCTAAATTGCACACATCTTTTTTTTTCAGTATAACACTGTAAACTAATATGGTATTCAGGGATATTCCGTGATCATACATCTATTCCGCGTTCTTATAAAGCCGTTGCGTTCCGGATAGGCAGCACCCAACACATCCGATCCTAATCTAGTACTGCACAGTGCGTATTACGTCGCAAACAAGCAGTCCTAGAAATATGTTCTAGTTTTAAACAAATAGGTAACCAGAAACTCCTTAGCCACTGTTTTTCAGTCTAAGGAAGTTACTCCTTCAAAACAATTTACCCATAAGAGAAGCAAAATGTTGTTCGATCCATGACGCAAAACATCTGACATTATAATTGACATTTTTTGCGTGTCTTGCCCGCTAAGGTTAAATACAGATTCTGGATGAAAAGTATTCTTTGACCTTTAAGAGGTAAAGTAAAAGTATTCAAGCAGAGAGTCACGTACAAATTTGTTCGGTGGCAAGGTTATCATGAATCGGTGAACGATGCGAAACGACTTCCATGTGTATTTCTATTGCATATCGTGGATGATGGTCTGCTAACCAACTGCGCTTGTTTACTCTCTTAAATTCGAAAAAAGTTTGGATTTTTCAGCTATACATGTAGACTAATGGGTTGTCTCGTTGACGCTCGGAAGTAATTATGATTGGCAAATGTTAAGCAAACATAAGTGACAGTTTGAAAAACCCTGAGTTTCTGTTGGTTTGTATGGACTTAGAATCGATAGATTGACAAGTACTTAGGTAGGGTCGAGAGCAATATCTTCTGTAGTTTATTAAAACGCGCATTCAGAGACGCACATTCTATAATATTCATCGTCCAATTGAAGCGTCCTTTTAGCAGTAGTGGAAAGTTATACTGCCGCTTATAACATGAAGATCCTGTTCGGTCTCGCCTTTCTTCTTTGCATTTCAGTCGGTAAGTTAATTTATTTCAGTTGTATCTGTTTCTTCCTGGCTAGACAAGGATAACGATTTTCTGTGTGCGTTCTTTATCTTCGTTCTCTGAATAAATGGGTGTGGCGGGCCATCTTGCTTCCGAACCAATTGAACAAAAATCATCGTTTTTTTCCCCCTCGCCTGATGATTTGGCTCGAAACTTAATATTAAATCATACCCTAGTATGCTGCTATTTTATTAGTCTGGAAATAGGTCTGGTTATGGTTTCAGTTTTCTACATTTAGGCATGAAAAATATAACCGATAAGTTAGGAATTATTTAGCACGGGGATCGTACTGATCTTACAAAACGGCAACATCCTCTTTAACGTTCTTTCCTGCTGTAATTTTCTACACCAAAAGGAATGTTCTCTATAACGCCTATCTTTGTGCCCAATTAACTGTCGACGAACCGATTGTAATCGGGGACAGGCGCCATTGTCCATGAGTATGGTGAGAAGGGATCGACGAATTAGAAAACTCCAATTCTACAAAATTCTCTTCTCGATAACAAGAAACGCATGACATAAACGTACAAAAAACGAGCGCTCAAAGAAAAACAATATAGGCAATCTACAAAAATGCAGCTTTGTTGACAGCAGAATTATGGCAAGGTTACGAAATATATATGCTGGCAGATATAAAAAGTGCTATTTTAACTGCACGCCTAATTCGCAGGAAGCGTTTCCGCAGTTGAATAATAAACCAATATGTTATTCACTTATATTTCAATCCTGACATATACATCTACTCCCCGTTCTTATAAAGACCCGCGATCACGATAGGCTGTATCAAAGATATTCAGTCATTAAAAATCTTAATCACGTATATTATCTGGGTAGCCAGCAGTCCTTAAAAAACCTTCTAGTTTTGAACAAATACTTAACAACGAACCCCTTCACCTTAGTAATGCAAGGTAGTTTCTACTTTAAAAAATTTACTCCATGAAGCAAAAGTAGTTCGATTGATGACGCAAAACATTTTACATTAAAATTTGTGTTTTGTTGGATTTGGATCTTGGCATAAAAGTATTCTTCGACCTGTGGGAGGAACTGAGGAAAAGAATTGAAGCAGAGAGTCGTGCAATTTTGGTGGCTAGGTGAATGTGTAAACGACACGCAAGGAATTCCATGTGCATTGCTAGGTGACGTAGAACATCGCGTATCTCAAATAATAAGCTACTTCAGAAGGATAGTGGGTGGCATCCTTTGTAGTTCTAATACGCGCATTAAGACACTCACGGTTATAATATTCAGCCCCCACGGCAAATGAAATTTTAGGGGCAGAGGAAAACTGTAGTGCCGCTTACAAAATGAAGAGCCTATTCGGGTCTTGCCTTTCCTCTTTGCATTTCAGATGGTAAGTTTATGTAGTCCAGTTGTATCTGTTTCCTCCAGTTTAGGTAAAGACAACGCTTCCTTTGTTTGCGTCCTGTATCTTCTATTTCTGAATAACTGGGCGTTGCGCGGCATCGTGCTTGCATTTTTCCGCCAAAGATTGTTAAAAAAAATCATTGCTTTTTTCCTCTCGTTTAAAGAACTGGTTCGGAAACTTAACGTTGAATCATAGCTTATTGAACTGGTATTTTATTAAACTGGAAACAGGTCTGGCAAGCTTTCATTTTTTTGCATTTAGGCGAGAACAATTTAACGGGTGTGTTAAAAATAATTTAGCTTGGTAATAAAATACGGGACTTACGAAACGTCTGCAGCCCTCTTGGACTGGCTTCTTGTCTTCATGTTATTTTCTACACTAAAACGTATTCACTTTTAGGCGTAACTTTGTGTTAATTGTTCACGAACATACCCTTTAATTCTGATCAGTTACAGGCGCGTTCGAATATTACGAGAAGGGATCGACGCGCCACGAATTATAAAAACCAATTCTGTAAGACTTTTTTTTTTTTGATTGAAAGAAAAAAAACTTAAACTTCGAAATATAAAGCGCTCAGAAATACTGACAACACGCGACAATGCAAAACTCATACTTTACTAAAAGCAGGGTTGTGCAGAATGTTGGTGAAATAACTGCAAAATTCATATTTGAGCTACACGCCTAAATCGTATAAATATTTCCGAGATTGCTTATGTGATCTAATATGACATTCATCTGCTTTGCTTTCTATAAAGGCCACCTCGTTCTGAATAGCTAGCACCCAAGACATCTGATCAGCCCAGTCAAGGAGATACTTATATTTATCTCCACACACCCGGCACGTATTGTTTCGCCAGCAGTCCTAAAATGCCGTCGATCAACTCTTAAATAAGTATTTAACCACAAACCACGAAGCCTCTGTTTTGCAGTGTAAGGTAGTTATTCCTTGAGGCAGAAGATCTCTAGGAAAATGTACTGTACAAAAGAAACCATTTTACTTTGCATTGTGTACCGTAAAATGATAGATCATTTCAGGCCTCGCCATTTATCAGTTGATTTCACAGCTCGTTTACACAATATAATTCCCAAGTATGAAAGGAAATCTTTTCCATATTTATATATATCCGAAATCGTTTAGGATTTGTGTAGCTTGTTGTTACTTAATCCAAAGGCCACAGTGGCTAAAATTTTTGTCCCTTTGAACGAAGTGTTTGTAGCTGGATACCAGGGTATTCTGTAGTTAAGGCGTTTTGTATCGCCTTTGAAACTGTCTCTCATTGTGGGTTTCTCGATTTGCTCTCGTTTTCTTACGCTGCCTCTAAAATATAGAACAGTATTCTTCAAAGTATTCGTTTATAATCTAATGAGATAAAATCAACGACACAGTTCATCAACAATTTTTAGATATAATTGGTTGATAGAGGGTGACTATGATGACACACCACCTACAATTTCAAAATGAATTAAGAAACTTACTTATCATGATATGATCAAGTATTATGTTTGAAAGTTTACACCAGTCTCTAATTATAAATACCTGTAAAGAATTTTTATTTGAGTCTGACACACCTCGGTTAGTTCCATCATTGCTTTTTTCTGGTCAGCACTTCGTGTAATATTATTTGCAGAAAGAAGTAAATGTTGTTGTTGTTGTTGCTGTGGTTGTTAGTATGTTTTTACGAGACTATTATGGCACTCTCTTTTCCTGTAGTATTTTTCATACAAGTTCATAATGATTGTCGTGATTTGTACACCTACACTCATTTTAACATTAAACCTCCGGTCAGAAAAAAGATGAACGGAACTGGGCACTCAAAGGCCCATCCTTAATGAAATATGGTCCGCGTACATATATTCCGCGTTCTTATAACACCACCGCACGTGTTCCGGGATAGCCAGCACTTCAGACAACCGATCCCAGTCACGCATATATATATTTCTTATCGCTAGCCAGTTCCGTAGACACCCTATATTCTTTCATAATAGATATTTGAACATAAACTACGGAGCAACTGTTTTTCATTGTGAAAAAGAATTCACTCATAAAACAAAATGATGTTTGATCGATTACGCAAAATATTTCCCAGGGAAGAAGAATCTGTCAATAACGCGAACAAAAATTCTATGTGCAACCAATTGCGCATGCTTACGAACTTAAACTCAGCCCTATAAAAAGATTAGTGGGCTGCCTAGCTGTCGCTTGCAAGTGATTATGATGGGCAAGTGTCAATCAAATATAGTGGCAGCTAAATAAAGCGTTGCCTTTTTATTGGCTAGTATAGACTTAAAATCGATAGATTGACAATTACTTAAGTGAGGAAGTGGGCGATATCCTATGCTCCTCCGTTTAGTAAACCGCGCATTCAGAGACGCACATTCTATAATATTCATCGTCCACTTGAGGTGTTCTTTTAGCAGCATTGGAAAGTTGTACTGCTTCTTATAACATGAAGATCCTGTTCGGTCTCGCCTTTCTTCTTTGCATTTCAGTCGGTAAGTTAATTTGTATCTGTGTCTTCCTGTTCAGGCAAGGATAATGTTTCGTGTCAAAAAAGCGTTCTTTATCGTTATTTCTCTGAATAAATGGGTGTGGCGGGCAATCTTGCTTACATTTTCCGAACGAATCGGACAAACATAATCGTTATTCCCTGTGGCCTAATAATTTGGTTCGGAACCAAATGTTAAATCATCCCCGTGTAATAAGTTGGTATTTTATTAGTCTGGAAATAAGACCGGTTAGCTTTCAGTCTTTTGCATTTAGGGCAAAAGTGATTTAGCTTAGTTATGATGACACGGAAATTTGATATCGTCGGCATCCTCTTCGACCTTCTGTTCTTCCTGTTATTTTCTACACCAAAAGCTACTCTCTTTTTGCTGTAACTTTGTGTTAAGTGTTCACGAACATTTCAAATCGTAGACAGATGCGTTGGTCGATGAATATCACGAAAAGGGGTCAACGAGCTGGAAACTCACATTATTTTCTCGATTAAAGGAAACGCAAGGCTTAAATAAACTTCCAAATATAAGCGCTCAGAAACAGGGCAACAAGCGAGTGATTCCACATTTCGATGAGGGTTGCGAAAAATGCTGGTGAAATCAACGTGAAATTTCATATTTCAACTCGATGAAAGTCTGACCGGGTATTGACATCGGATGACATCACTTGTAAAATTAAAGGCCGGAAGCAAAGCTACCACACTTGCGCATCTGACCCTGGCTAAATTCTATTTTTTTTTTGTTGCAAACTCCCTTAAACTCTGGGCGTTTCTCTGCGAAACCGTCTCTTTCACCAGTTTTGTCAAACACTCGGCCAACCTAAAAACAGACGGGGACTTACATTAACTTTTCTTCTCGAAAATTTATCCAAATAAAAAAAAACCTGTTGGGACAGAACACTACGCTTTAGATATAAGCGGCGAGTTTGGTCCAAGTTTTCGCGAGGTATATAGTCTCGAAGGTTACCACAAATCAACTGCAGTGCTTGATAAGTTCTTTTCAAATCTACCTTAGCATTTTAAAAAGCTTCCTGCACAAAATTACATCGCTTGACCGACATAAACATTTGCATTGTCAATGAAGTACCATGCGATTCCCTTCTTCACACGATGACAAAAGAAATACTAAAATACTTTTTGATGGGAGAGTTCAGTGTGTCAGCCCTCTTTAGGAACAGGCTGCAACGAATGTTTCTCTCTTAAGAGCTGGGATGACTGCAAAAACAAGACAAAAGTGGTAACCTGTTTGGACAATCAGGACCGTTGTGGCAAAGCTGATATCAAAGCTGAGACCTCAGGCGTGAAAGGTGAAGTCTTTGTCAAAGGATGTGCCACTTCATCTGAATGCAGCGAAAAGAATTGCAAAAAGTTCTCCCCCTCAGGGAAAATCACCAAATGCGAAGTCGAGTGCTGTAAAGGTGACCTGTGCAATGGAGCCCAAGTACCAATGGTCAGCGCTATCATGCTGTTGGCATGCGTTATCGTAGGTTTTGCTCGTTAAAGTTCGAGATAAAGAGCCTGAATGTAGCCCTTTGTCGAAAAAGAAGTAAGATGCATATGTTTTAAATGGGCATGTAATTTTTTTTTGTAATGTAGCGTTTTTTTCTTAGGGCTTTTTTTATTTTAAATCCATCTTGATTACTAACAGATTTACATGTATAGTCACGAGTGTTTATCTGAAGGTCAGCTTGATTAAAAAATTCAGTTTTTGTAATGCATGGAAATAAAGAATGTTATTTCTTGTATCTAATTGACGCTATCTTGTAGTTTAAAGGATACAAATATTCAGTATAATAAAAGTCAGATATAACTCGGACTTTGGTTGGTTGACAAAACGTGCTTTATGAGAGGATATAAAACTCGGAGCTAAAGCTGTCACGCCATCTGCCAGCAATAGTTTGTTTTGAAAATTAGAAAGCAACGCGTGGAGATTTTATCGGATTCTTTATCATATAACAAACATAGAAGCTTTGACTGTGCTCTGTTCTGTTAGTAAGAGCACTCAAGACATAGGGAGAAACACTAGATAACCTCTAGTGTTTCCCCTACACTTTCTTCGTGTTCTAGCCGCTTCCCGCGTGCTTTACAACAGAACAGAGCACAGTCAAGGCTTCTTTATTTCTTGAATAAAGGAGTGAATTGAAATAGAAATATAATTAATGTTGAATTTGCTTTAAAAAACATTTGCCAAGTCCAGCTTCGCAGTAGAATAAGACTCGAGAACGAGTTTAGACGCGCAAAGACAAGTTATTTGTTTTCTGGGGACCTAACATGGCTACCGCATGATGAGGGTGTATTGTTGGTTTTCACATGACCTCACTTAAATTCAAACTACAAAACTATCGATCCTGCTGAGATTTTACTTTCGTGGTGTATTAGAGCAGCTGAAAACTGACTTTCAAACAAATTTTCGGTGCAAAAGGGTTCTTGGTTTTGTAATAGAGTACGCTTGAATTCCTAAAGAGCAAACATAAGTGGCAGGTTTTAAAACCCTGAGTTTCTATTGGTTTGTATGGACTTAGAATCGATAGAAAGACAAGTACTTAGGTAGGGTCGAGAGCAATATCTTCTGTAGTTTAGTAAAACTCGCATTCAGAGACGCACATTTAAGAATTTGTTCATGCTTAGCGTGCGTATATCGAGTTATGGATGCACGCGGGTAGTTTGGAGAGCACGAAAGATGCGTAAGAGTTGCACGAGGCGATAGCCGAGTGCAACTCTAGCTTCTTGAGTGCTCTCCAAACTTCCCAAGAGCATCCATAACTCGATATACGCACAGCTAAAAGCATGAGCAAATTCTTTTATAACATAGCTGACAAAAATGCTTGCTTTTTGATTAACTACAAAATTCTC